TCTGGTGCCCTGCTCGGGCCCCGAGCTGAAGCCCTGGCTGGTGAGCTGAAGCCCTGGCTGGTGAGCTGAAGCCCTGGCTGGCGACCTGCTCAGGCCCCAGGCTAAAGCCCTGGCTGGCGACCGCGCTCAGGCCCCGAGCTGGGAGCAGCACTCCCTGTTTTGGAGGCCAGCCTCAGAGACAGGCAGCACCACATCCTTCCAAGGAGGTCAGCCAGAGGATCGGCTACAGTGTACTCACCCCTGTGAGGCTTAACTGTGGCTGCAACTGCCCAGGTTACAAACCCAAGTGACGCCTCCCAAGATTGTGACAGCAAACCGCCCCCCCTTTCCACAGAACTAAGGGCTCTCGCTCACGGTCTCCCATCTTGTCTGCTTTTGAAGCTTTGAGTACTTAAACTGTTTCCCACAGAATTCCCAGTTGTTTCCCCACTGTGCAGAAAAGCTGCGTCATTGCTACTAAAGAATAATCGTGCTCCCTGAATCACATCATCTTTATTTGAGATCATTGTCCTGTAGATAGCCAGGAAAAAAGAAACAGAACCACCTTCGGATGGGACAGAGGAACAACTCCCTGGCTACCAGCCCTAATGCAGGTATTTCTCAATTCTGCGAAAGCTGCTGTCACCCCGCAGCACAGCAGCCTACAGCCAGGGTTAACCAGGGAAGGGGAAGAGAAAGCCCACAGAAAAATAGCAGAGACAGGTTTTCCACACTCCACACACGACTGGGGCCCGAGGGAAGACAGTCCCCAGTGCACTCTTGCGATGGGTGGCGTACTAGAAGACTCCATGTGCTTACCAGCACAGATGCCCTCCAGCACACACAATGCAGGCAAGGAGTCAATTTGCAGCAGTTGCTTTCTGAGAATCATCCTTTCATCACATCCTCTCAGGCTGACAGCACGTTTCCCCCCACTTCAGTGGCTTGGGGGAGTCAATGCAGACGTGAAAGAGGCTCCCTAGCAATGAAACAACTTGTCCCACCTTTCTCCTGCACTCCGGAGAGCAGATCTGGCTCAGGCTGGGAAATCACAGCTCACCATCAGTGCCCTCCTTGTGACCCCTTTCACCATCCACCTACTTTGTGTTCAGAGCTAATCTCTCAGTAAAACCCAAGCTATCTCCATCTTGGAGGGAGCAGAGAACAAGGGGACGTGTGTGAGCTCAAGCCTTACAGCAGACCCCATGGAAGCTGGAAAAGCTGCTCCCGCTCTGCACATTCTCTTCCAGAGGCACAGATTAAGGTGATGGACTGCTGGGTCTCCTCATCCATCTAAAAGTACAAGCCAAAAGCGTCACTTCCTCGACAAAGTTGCAGACACTTCCCCTTCCCCCAACAGAGACAGAACAGAGGCACAGTGTTAGGAGTGAGGCAGCATCCAGTCCCAGAAGCGCCCCGGTATTTAGTCACGGAAGGACACGAAAAGCAGACAGCAGCATTTTCAGGTACGCCAAAACTGAATCTCACTGTTATTAACCTGACTGATTTCAGCCTACCAGCCATCCTCAAAAATCCTGCATAGCCTGTGGCGATGTCGCCATGTGTCAGCTGTCAGACTCCAGAGAGGAGCCGTGCTGAAGGCACTCTGGAAAGCATCAGATCCAGTTAAGATTCAGCTTCTAGAAGAGGACAGACACCCCTTATGCTCACATTGCTGCAGCCACGTGAGATGCAGCGGTGAGGCGAGTACTAGCTGTCTGGACGATTGTCCAGTCAGACTTAATAGGGCCAAGGAGAAAGTCTGGCAGACGTGCCACCTAGACATTCTCCAAGCAGCTCTTCTACAGCACACTTCTGCAGCAGCGGATTAACGACTTTGGCTGGGAGCTTCAGTCACCTCTGTGAAGCTGCCTCGGCTGCAGATACGGGCAGGGCACAATCCACGGCCCTTCCTGGGGGGCTGTGCAGAGGTAAGTGCTACTGATTCCTAAGGATTAAAACCAACCTCCTCTTAACTTCTATACTTAAAATAATCTTCTTTACCTAAATGGATTCATTAGGAGACTATAAACCACACATGCAAAGCCACTCACACTACAAGATGCACTGTGTCACCCCCGCCGGGCAGAGGAAGGGGAGTGTCAGAGCAGCACCAGGCTGTTCCTCACACAGACCACCACGCAGCAAAGACCCAGCCCTGAAGGAACACAAGCCACTGTCTGCCCACGCGCCCGACAGGCGCTGAGCAGAGGTAGCACGTAACACCTTGGCTTCCCCTCCCACTAGAAGAGGCATGCATGGGTCAGCTGGGCCAGAGGAGCTTTTCCTCTACGTGACCAGCACAAAGGAATCGCTTGTCCCTCTTGCCCCAGTGGCTGTTTGAGCAGAAGGGAGTTGGGCAGGTTCTACCCTCACAACCACAATCAGCAGCTGTACCAGAACCCCCCACTCTGTGAAGGGAGGGTCTTCAGATCATGCACAGCACAAAGCTGCTTTCTCCTGAGCCGATGACTACTGTTGTTCTGTTCTAGTGAAACTGGCCACCACTGGCCTTAAATAAGGCATCCCAGCAGCTACACACTGAAGCTTTCCAGAAAATGCCCTCTGACTTGTCACTTTGCATTTTTTTCTATTGGTCCAAGTCTCTCTGCACAGGGAACCAAATGCTCTGCTGCAGAAATCAAGTATAGAGCACTGGCCTGACAGGAAGCAGCACAACACACAAAGCAGAGAAGGTGAGGCAAAACCAAGACTCCTATTCTCATCCTGCAGCAAGAGACTGTTTTGGGAAAGCTCTGCCAGCCTCATGCTCCAATACCTTTCTAAACAACTTGAAGGCACCACAAGCCCCTACAAGCTTACAAAATTCCTCAGAGCTCTTCCACAGTGCTCAGCTGCTGATCATGCAGACCACCCTGTACAAGACCCCTACTTGCTCTGGACTTCACTGACCAAGGCAGCCTTGAACTTGAGGATTAGCTGTAATAGTGGTGCAACCCCCCTGAAGTCAGCCAGTACAAGGAAGCAAGTTGGAAAAGGCTGGAAAGGCCTGTTGCCCCCCTTGCTAGGCTGGATCTACATGCAGGATCTCAGGAGGCGAAATAGCAGCACTTAAATCCTCTGTGCAGGATCTGCTCTGGTGTTGGCTTTATGCACAGTCTGCGCACGTGGCAGAACCGCAGATCGAAACAGTACGAAGACCCCATGGCTCTGGCACAAACACCCTGAGCATGAACCAGTTGCTCTGGTTAAGAAGAGGTTTGTGACAAACCTGCAAATGCTGTCTGACATTTCCAAAGCTTTGACTGTGGTTGCATCATCACAATCTGATCAGGGAAAACACAGCTGCCCGTGGCTCCTGGAGGAACTCACTCCTTGGCCCAGGGCAAGAAATGCCATTATCAGCACAAGGTCCAGGTAGCAATTCCAAATCCAGGCCTACTCTGCAGGCAAGTCTCAGACACCTGTAATGGCAAGGATGGGTATTTTACAAGGATAGTGCTATTGTTGCCAAAATGTCAGGAAAAAGCAGCGTAACTCCTCTCTGGCCATATTCGAAGGGGCTGTACTGACACAGCTGTATCCACACTGGGACAAGGCTGCATAAGCAGAACAAGCTTGTGCAGCCTGCCTTCCCCAAAGGAAGGGCCTTTCTGAGGAAGGACAGACTTTGTTTGGCCCACGTAACAATGATCAAGGCAGAAACTTGAGGCAAGTAGAAACCCCGAATTCCTAAGGTCACGGCCATCTCCCAGCTGATATTGTCAGAAAGACAAAGGGAATAAAATCAGTAAACTCTTCACCCTCTCTTCCCACTGCAGGCAAGGAGCTGGTGCTAAGCACCCCACAGGACCTGACGGCTTTTCCCTGCTCGCCCATGATGTTCCCTTTGCTCTAAACTGCAGTTTCCATCCTTAACATGTTCCAAATCCCTCCTGCTCTTTTTGCAAAAATAAAGATTTGCTCTGCCAGCAAATACCTTTATGTGTGGTCGTTTTTTGCTCAATGGATCGCATGGCAAAGATGGTGCAGAAGCATCCCCCCCCTTCACCTCAGAGCAACTGGCTAGTTGCACAACATCCAGGGTTGCACAGACCCTATGACAAGATCAAAGCTGCTGGGGGAAGGTGGAGTTTACATAGCTGGTTGCCACACCATTCGGTCAGTCTCCACCCAATAGCCTAACTTAAACAACAGTGCTGAACTGGAACAGGAATGTTCCAGCTGCAGATTTAAGAAGAGAGCACCCTGCTATTTACAAAGGCTGTATTCGCCTTTGAGGACAGATGCGCTCTGTCCACATCTGCTGTCAAACCAGCCTGGGATCTGGAGAGGCAGTAGCTACAACCCATTCCTCCCTCGGGACTCCAAGGGGACTGTGTCAAGGCTGCTGCAAAGCCTTGTTGGAGAGAGTGCTGTGACACAGACTGCCCTCGCTCAAGAGCGCCAGAGAAAGGAGTCTGGCTGTATCCCAGGCATGCTATGAGCAATTAGGAGTTTGACGAACTGTGGGGGCAACGAGCCCCTCTACACCAGCAGAGGGAAAGATGTCCTGCTGGTTTATTTGCACACTTTCAAGGGTGCCCCTTCTGATGCCGACGCTGCCCTGCCCAGCCACCCCACGTCCAAAGGGTACACAGCGGGGTGGCCCCACGGCGAGCTCCACCACATCGGCCCAGCGCCACCTGCTGGCCCCGGGACGGCGCGGGCGGGGGAGATGCTGCGAGCCCTCCTCCAGGTCGATGGTGTACTCTCTGCCAGAGACAGGCATGAAGTGAAGCTGCCTCTCTTGTTTTGCTTTAACCCACACCACCTTTGTGCAACCAACTTATGGTTGCATGCACCGCTTGGGGAAGCGCCCACCTACCTCTGCTCATCTGTCTCTGGCTCGACCAGGATGTTCTCCTGACGCTCCAACACCCTCAGGAACACGAAGGAGTCCAGGTTGGGCTTTGGAACTGCAGACAACAGATTCAGAGCACAAGCTCAGCGCTCACGTTCCTCTGAAGAACACCGAGCTAACAGGCGTATGAGGGACAGCAAACCCACGGCCAGTAAAGGCAATGCTAGACCCTTCTGATCAGATGTAGTGTGCGCTGCCACGTACCACACAGCAGAGCAGTCTGATGACACTATCACATCATCTTTGCTTCTACTGAGCGCCAGCTGGAGGACTCGCCCTTAACATTTCATGCTCCCCAGAGCTCTCCCCACACCCTTGCTGCTACAATTTTTAGATTACCCTGGAGTCTGGAGGTACTCACCTGATTTTAAGAGAGACACTTTCTGCAGGTTGGGCGGCATGTGTTTTAGGGCAGTGTTTTTCAGGTAAGTCTCTGTGTTTGCCATGTACCTGAAACAAATCATCGGATCATTTGCTGGTTTAATCATATACAAAATTGCAGGGAGAGCACTGACTCAAAATGCCAGCAAGCAACATCGCCTGGTCCCAGCGGCATGGCCAGATACAAGCCGAATGGCTTGCCCTGGTAACTGGCTGAGAGTTACCAGAGTTATTTTATTTCACGTCTTTCCTTGTCCATTAGGAAACCTGGTAAAACCCGTGATTCTTACGGCAAACATGTCTAAGGCTGAACAGAACTGTTCAGTGTAACACACAGGCAAGTTCTATGATCTATAAAAAGGGAGGGAGATGTATCCAAAACCTACTCACTCTTTAGCAAAGGCAAACTCTTCTGGTGATAGGATGGAAGGCTCCCCTTCGGCTCGAGACTTCTCTTTCTCCAGGACATGGGGGAAAAACTTCTCTATCTGATATTGGAACAAAATCCCAAAGACTGTAACAGACCTCTCCCAGTAGTGCAGTGCCTACAATACCCGCTCCCCAGAGGCTTCCCCTACAAGCAGCGGTCCACTGCTGTACAGGTGCACACAGCAGCCGCAGGCCTGCCCAAATATCCGCTCCTGAATTAATAGCGATATGGTCAGCTGGGGTCTCCAAGCTGCACAACCGTATGTGTACGTGGCAGGACCCAGGCAGAACACGCAAACATTCGATTGTGCCACCCTGGGCTTAGCTGAGGTAAGAATACACTCATAGCAATGCTGTGATCCTCCTTCATCACGACAGAAGAATGTGTCCAAGGAATTAATTCCTTTGGGTTGCGCTTCAGAGGACACAGAGAGAGAGAGCACACTTAACTAAGTGCCTTGCTGAAGCAGGAGGCCTTGTACAGGTAAAAGTCACTCCTGAAGTCATGCTTTTTCATCCCCTGGGCAGCACTAGCAAGTATTACCTTCACGAGCCTACATCGCAAGTAGCTGCTGAGCACATAGCGGATCCTTTCAATCTCCATGCGGTGAACGCTGACCTTCAAGTCCCCTCTCTTTGCCCGTTTCAGGTTTGCCTCCTGCAAGGAAAGGCAAAGAGAAACAATATCATTGAAACGTCAAAAAACAAGAAACAGAGGGGAATACAGGTTTTGTACATAGCATCCACAAAAACAGACTGCAGCGGCTTCTAGTGACACAAAGCACAGTTTCCTTGCATCTCTCAGTTCCCTCTCCGAGACAAGCCCAAGGAAGGTACTCAGGACAGCCCTATCTCGGGGACAGGGGAGCAGGCAACCCTGGCAATCCCAGAGGGACCCAAGCACTTATCTGCCAGGCCAGGCAGCCAGGGCCTGCCTGTGCTCCACAGCCCAGCAGAACCTACCATATGGTCCAGCTGCTCCACAACACACTCGATGATCTCCGGTTTGCTCTCCAGCAGCTCCGGTGCAAACTTCTCATTCAGCCAGGCCTGAAAGAAGGCACGCTGTAAGTGGAAGCGAGGAATGCAGCTGCTGCGCGCCCCAGCCCCCACAGAGGCCTCAAGCTCAGCCCCAGCCCCCC